AGTGGTGTGATAGCATCCTAATTAATTACCGCGAATGGTCTTAGGGCAAACAATTTAATTATCTTGTAAAAATTCTATGTAATTGTATGCCAGTATTGAAAGAAAGAATCAATCTGATAAGAAATGACTGCGACTTTCATGTTTTGAAAATGAAGTGTAAAAGTTACCAGCAAAGATATTCCATTTGGCATCAGGTGTACCATTATTGGCGACTTTATCGTTTGTGCCGCAAAACTGAAAAGTACCCCAAAATTTTCTGGAGCTAAAGAACCCTTGTATGCTTTTTGGAGTTTGCAGGGAAATTTGAAAGTCATTAAATATGCATACACAGGAGTGCAGTGAATGAGTTATTGAAAAATTTCGAAAGCCTATGGTATGTAGTGGTAAATTTGAGGGCAGGAGATATTTTGGTGGTGTGCAAAATTTTTCATCTGCTAATGGCAATCACCAAGATAAAATGCAAAATAAGAAATTGGGTGATAATAAGCAGAACTTTTAAACTATGTAGGGATGATGTGGGTCAGAGAAGTCAGCCATCTGAGATGAAAGAAAAAGCTTCTCCTATTCAACTAAAACAGTACTCATCAAAACCTATCACTCCCAAATATTAAAATTGTTTTGAATGGAATTCCTTTAGATGCATTCTAGGACTGAGGGACGCATAGCTTTTTGTCAGAAAAATTTTAAGAAGTATAGATTATTTGGCATTGCAAGAACCAATGTGATAATTAGGAGGAGTAGGGAAAACGTGAATGCATAAGGAGGAGGATGTTGAAGTTAAAATTGGGAATCACAAATTGGTTTTTTTATGTGGCAAAAAAATTTACAGGTAAACATAATTTTGGGGTTGGATTTTTTAAAATCAGCTGAATTAATTTTCAGGTGAGCATGATGCAGTTGGATAGGAGCAAGTTGACAGAGAAAGAGGTAGAACTTCTAGCCTTGGATTTGAAAGAGCTGCATTCAGAAGAAAAATTAAAGTTGAAGCAATTGACAAGAAATTTTTCAGATTGATTTGATGGCATTCCAAGATTGATGCATGTGGTGAGTCACTAATTTGAAATGGGAAATACCTATCTCATATAGAGCAAAACCCTACCACCCTTATAAACTTAAGAGGAGATCCTATTAAGTCATATTAGGGATATGCTGGAAAAAACATTAGCCCCACAGAGAGTCCCTACATTATTCCTGTAGTACTATGCAGAAAAAAGAAATCTTCCTTCTACCGAATTCAAGGCCTGGTAATTTGCTGTTGATTACAGAAAACCCAACACTATAACAAAATATCTCTTAACAGTAATTGAAATAATTAGGAACATTAATGCTACAAAATATATCACCACATTAGATCTCAAGTCTGCATATTTTCAGATGCGTGCAAAACCAGAGGATGTGCCAAAAACTGCATTACCGAATCGAGGTTATGTTTTCTTTAGAATGCCATTTGGCCTATGCAGAACTCTCAGCATATTTCAAAGGTCAGTGGGCATAATCATAAGTCCTGTACTTGGTAAATCAACATTTATATTCTTAGATGACTAAATTCATGAGCATGCTGATGATTTGCATGACGTTTTTTTGCTCTATAGAAAGCAGGTTTAAAATGAATGCAGTAAAATGTATATTTGTGGCCAAAGAACTTTGGCACCTGGGATAAAATATATCTGAGCAGGGAATAGAAATAGATTATTAAAAAATTACCTGCCGCATAGTATAGGAAAAGAATTGACATCATTTTTGGGCTTGTAACATCTAGTTTTCTTGGCTAGCATAAACTTCTACTAGACCTATTTAAAAGTCTGTTAGTGACTTATTGCTAAGGCTAGAAAACGAATACAAGAATAGAAGAGTGTTAAAGATCCTTTTATTGAACTTGGTTATTTACAGATGGTACGGTCTTTGTGCTTACGAATCCACCATTTGCTTGTGGTGCTAAAACTAAAGATAATGATAACTTAATCTAAAGATAAGCTAGTAGTTCAAAACTACATAAATTAGTTTCACTTAGCAGGTTGACTCAGAAACCTGCAACTGCACGATAAGAAACTTCGGCAAGCATGAAAAGCTGAGATTCAGAAATCAAACATCTGGTAGAAAACAACAATGTGCACACTCAACGGTGAAACATGTGCTGACTAACCTTTTTCCCACTTCAGTATAAATACATTTTTGTTCATCCTAACTCGTTTACATCCTGGCAAGCAAACATGAGAGAAACAAGAAATGATAGAAAAGGCTAGCAAATTAAAAGAGCAGTTCATTAAAATAGTATAAATTTCACATGCTCATATTATAAAATGTTCATTTAAGATTTTGTTCACATAGCAGATCTGTTATTAAATTTAAAATGGAAAAAAACTGCTGGATTCATTGTTGGCTGAACTGAACACAGCTTTTGAAAAATTTAAAAGTGCCAGTAATCCAAGCCCCGTCTTGAAATATCCTGAAGTGGATAGCAAGATAGCAAATATATCTGATTTCATAGCATAAGCCATTCATATGTCTGTTGATATTTAGAATTTTAGTATTTGAATGATGGGCAGTTTAAAATTGGTTCATTCTTGTCAACCTTTGTTGTAGGAGATCAAAAAGCAGAGTGATTGGCATTTTATCATCATCTTTTAATCATAAATTAAACAACTAAACTTCACTCCATAATCTCAGTTTTAGGCAGTTTAATACCCAACAGTGAATATGTTGAAAACAGATGCCATTTTCCAGCACCTATTTGAATTTTAGTTTATTTGCAACTCGTTTGAGTGAACTTAAACAAAATCAGACATAAACCTACTTTACAGGAAGAGAAATTAGTGCAAATCTAAGTAGGCTTATGATATGCTAAGTGTGCTTTTCTTGGACTTAAATAAACAAAAAAGGGGGGCATTGCAAATCAGAGACAGATTTTATAAAGAGCTTACACCTGTAACTTGCTGTTCATTCCCCCTCTCGAAAAGTCTCCATCTCAGTAGCAGCTTTGTGAATTACCCAAAAGGAAAAGAAAAGAAGAAAATTTGATGATTGCAACTTGTGGATACTGTTCTGACAAATAATAATAAATAAGGAAAAAAAGGGATTTTGTAAGCAACGAAAAATTTTATGGGGATTAAAGAAGCAATCTGGATAATCAATATTTACATTTTTAAAACTGATGGTAACATTTTAAGGAAATGACATTTAAAATATGTGTATCCATCCTATATTCAAGTACATGTGTGATACATGCATGCATGAGTTACATGTATACTCAAAAGTAAATGCAAAAGTAAATGTAAATGCACTTCTGTAGTTGAAATTGGGAGATGTAGATAATCAGAAAATATTATTTGAATTTCTGTACCCCCATGAAAATTCATCAACATATGTTGCTGACTTTATACAAAACACATTTGCTTTATGCCTCATAGATACTATTCTGTTCCTAAATAATGAGAAAAGAAGCATTTTATTACAAGAAGCAAATTTTGTATGAAAAATCAAAAATTTGTATGGCTAATATTTAAACATTCTTGCAGTTGTGTGAATACCACTTGGTTAAATATAAACATTTAAATCCATGTGTATTCAAACACTTCCCTGCTTGAGTTGGCTGTTGTCGCAGGTATACTAAAAAAAGTGACATTTATACCGAATGTTGAACCTGGGGGCTGTGTATCATTTGAAAGTACCATCATTTTATTAAAAGTACTTTTTACTGATTATAAAGTGTATTCATACTGATTCTTATTTTGTATTATTAGTTAATTTAATATTTATTTACTTATTTTATTATTTTCAAGTGCATACAGTTGCCTTCTGCAGCTGCATGCTAAGATATTGCATCAAAAGTAATAATTAACAGTATTTGTTTATAAATCATATCAGAAAAAAATTTGAGCAATTGTTATCCAAGTGACAAACTGGCAAGATTATTGTATTTACTTGCAGAATTATTATCCTTATTTACTTTAATATTGCTGCTTAGAAATGAAGAAAGATAATTATGTTACCTTTACAAATTCTGGAAGGAGAGCTAAAGGAAGAATTTCTATGATTAAAAACATGTGTGAATAAATATAATAAAGTTCATTCAGAAAATAAGTATCATTTGGGTATTAAAAAGTATTAGCTATTTGTTTTCCTTTCTGATTTATTAGAGAAAAATCTACATACCGTAATCTCCTTTTGGTGCTACTTTGGCAGACGGTTGCACAGATTTTGGCGATTTTTCTTTTGGCAAGTAATACGACATATGGTAAACCCATTGCTGGATAAGTTATTTATGGTAACCGATACTTTGTTGTCACTTTATTTTTAAAATACTGCATTTTATTATGCATAAATTTTGTGTTTTAAATATTGTTTATGGCTTCAAAATAATAAAAATGCTATCCCTGAGTAAAATAAAGCTATGGCGTAAGATGAACAATTACGTTATAGGTTAAACTATTATTTTTAATTTCTTATAGGCACAGTTTGAAGGAAGAAATATCTTACTCAATTAAGATCTAAGTGCCTGGTTATTATCATAATGAATATTGTGAAGTATATAGTATAAATAGTGAACATGGTATAAAGTGATATAATGAACACAGTATAAAATCATCCAGTAGTCTTTTAATTTGACCTTAGCAAAAACATTGGTCTTTTTGTCTTTTACCTCTAAAGCAATTTCCTGAGCAAAAATAGAAATATTTGTCAGATGTTAAAATTACTGCAATTCATTGAAATATTTTTCGAGGGAAAACATGAGAAGAAAGAAGTTATTTTTAATAAATTAACATAAAAATCAGGCAGATGGTTATTTATTGAGAAATGAAAAGTGCACACTGTAATTGATTTTACCAATTTATTTATTAATTTAAGTCATGTTCCAAATGAACTGTAGTTAGTTAGATTTTTGGCATCAGTTCTTAATACATAATTATTTCTTAATGTATATTTGAAGCATTGGGAGGGTATGTTTATTATTATGCTTATAGTTTATTCATTCCCCCTTTTTTTTTTTTTTTTTTAAATAGCTACCATGGCCTGTCACATCTCCAGTAAAACAGACAGAATCTTTATCCAAGTCACTTCTGGAGAATGAATTTTCTGAAGAAAGTTCTTCTGATGAAGATTATAAACCTGTCGAAGTTGAAGTAATTTACATGTTATATATTTAATACATATAGATGCAGAATCTGAAAACTTTCTCATATTAATCAAAATAAATTTAGCATTTAATATAGTGTTAGGCAGGGAAGAAGCAAAATTGCCAGCTAGAATTGGCATAAGTTTTCCTTACATTATGGCAATTCCTGTTATTAATTTTATACTAAAATTTATAATTAACTTATTTGAAATGTTAAGCAATATATATATGAAATGAAAGCACAAATTTTGGAAGCATTGAAATACAAATGCTGAGACGTAGATGCGTAGAAATACTAATTGCGTTGATACTTGATGCTTAGAGCGTCCAAGAGCTTAGAGCGTTTTTGAAGAAGAAGCAGTCGAGCTGGATTAAATTCCTTTTTTATTTAAATTCTCATTTTGTGGCCACAGTTCACTTGGCACTCTACTCGTGCCTATTAAAGAACATTTACAATTTTAATATTATTGCCATAGAAGTGAATATAGCAGGACACACATGATTGTAGAAAGACGTCTGGCCAAGAGGAAAGCACAAGCAAAAGTGACGCATCACTTCACAGAAAAGGGAGGGAGTCAGTTTTTAGTTATGGTTTACATTTTGGTGATTGGTCAAGAGGCATCTGCATTAAGGGTTACGTAAGATTGCATGATTAATTTGAATGACACAGTTTAGACTTACAGCGCTATTTTCAGGACAGAGAGATGAAGTTTCCAAATGAAATAAAAAATAAAAGAAGTTATAGTGACTTAAATTTAGAAGTGTGCTTACATATTTTTCATCTTACACACATATATATATATGTATATGAATATAACAAATATTCTTTCACTCATATAAAGCTAATTTAAATAAACAGTTATAGACAAAAAGTTAGAAATTTACAGGGTTCGTAGCGGTCCTTATAAGTGCTTATAAATCCTTATATTTGAAAATAAAATATAAAGGCCCTTATAGGTGCTTACTTTTTCTTTAAAGCCCTTATGTTTTTGTTTTCAGTGCTTATTTTTTGCATTTAGTGCTTTTTTTTTTTAATGAATGTGATTTTTTTCCCCGTACCAAGCCGAAACTAAATAAACAACTTTTCTTCCTAATATGGAATGTCAGATGGTGAGTCATACTCCTGGAAATAGCTTTTTCCCCTTTCTCTGCGTTAACATCCTTTGGTGTGTACGAAGAGTACAGATAGGTGCCCGTCGTTCTATTGATCAAAGAATTGCGAAAGCAGTAGAAAATTCGCCTACATTCGGCATTCTTTTACTCCCACCCAAATACTACACACGTTTGAATTTCTATCAAGATCTTAATAATTTGCATTCTCGTTCCGCTTGGTCAATTCATATTCGTGTTTATTATGATCGTTATGCTTATATTATGAGCATATGTATGAATGTTTATAATACCATAGTTGCAGTAACTGCTAAAGTATAGTAAACTTCCAAAAATGGTTGTGTTTTAACACAGATTAGCTTTCTAATTAATAATATTCGGAATGGCTTAAATAAAGATAAAGTAATCTAATAGTCAAAATAATTTAATTTTTTGGCCAATACATTATACAGTACGAAGGTTGGGAGGTCTCCCCTTTCTCCGCAAAATCTTGAATATTGAAACTCTTACAGTTTGCTGCAAAACAAGCAACGGACCCTTTTTTTTTGGGGGGGGGAGTCACTTTCCAATCTGGATTGAATAGGACTAAAAGTTTTGCGGTCTACCAGCCCAAGCAAAGAATGATTCTATTCCGGAAATTTAACGCCGTCTGTTGAAAATTAGAATGAAAAACACTAGTTATTTAGTTCTTTATTCTCTAATACCGATAGTTGTTGATTCCGATTGCGTAATATCACGTAGGGAAGAATTACGGCGCACATATTGCGCAATAACATTTGCGATATTTTGCAGAGATAATTAATTTTGATGTTCAGTTCGAGATTTGTTTATGAACACTTAAAAGAGTTTTAATTTGCTTGCTAAGCAGAATATTTTTTAGTTCTGTTGGTTTATTTTTATTTGATGCACATATTGAAATGTCAATAGCATTTATTTAGCGGAAAAATCTAAAGAGTGGCTACAGTCTACCCCCTTCCACTCCGTAAAGTTACGCTCAACTGTCCGAATATTCGCCAATTTCCAAGTATGCGGGTTAGTTAAGTTTTTACTGTTAAAGATGAGTGCATGAAGCAAATTTCTGTCTTCTTATTTCTGAAATGTTCCTCTTTTTTACTTAAATTACTTGCTTGCAATATCTGTTAAGAGAAAACTGATATAGAATGAAAATTTAGAAAATGTTCAAGATTTAGATTTAAATTATTTAAATATCAATATTAGTGGAAAAATAAATTGTATTTATTATTAGGTTCCAAGCGAATACAATAAATATGCCTTATTATTATTTATTTTCTCTATTTTGAACTGAAATTTCATCATCAAATCTTGTAATATAGTTTAGTTCTTCATAGTTTTTTTTTCTCTCATTGTAAACTAGTTTGTTTGAACTATTATTTCAAATTAAAAAAAAAAGTAATTATTTTCCATGGTTGTGATAATGCTTATTCTCTCTTAATAAGTACTTCATTTCTCATATTTTAAATTACAAGTCTAATTTTTAAGGTTATGCAATTGTGTATGATGTAATTAGACAGGTGCTTATTTTTTTTTCTTAAAATGTGCTTGAAAAGTGCTTATAGGTGCTTATTTTTTTAACTAAAATGTGGCTATGAACCCTGATTTAGAACAAAATCCACAAAGACCCAACAGAAATTAAATTCAAAAGCGGTAAAATTTCAAAATTCTGTATAACTATGTAAAAAATCAACTAAAAAGTCGGAAAAATTAAAGAAATATGAAAAACAAAAACTAAAATATACACAGGGAGAGGAATGATATAAATCGGATTCAGCATTATCAAAGAGGAGGTAGATTAAGAGTCAATTGATTCCCCTTTCCCTGGAAAACTACTGTGTTTCTGTTGATCCAAAATTATTTGATGAACCATTCTAAATTATTTAATTATGAAAGTTCATCTGAAAATTTTGAACTCTCCTTGATACAGAGGCAGTCCATTAAAGAAATGTACAAAAACAAATCCATATGTAAAAATTCCAATGTGAAATAAAGCAAAAGAAATTAAGTAGATGCTTTTTACTAAACTTAAGATTGAAATTAAATTATAGTAATATGAAATACGCTAAGAAATTTTGAAATCATGACTTAGTGGACACAAAGGCAATTCGTTAAAGATATATGTAAAAAGTTCCAGTGTCAGATAAAGGAAAAGAAATTAATTAGACTTTTTTACTGAATTTAAGATTGAAATTAAAATGTGATACAATATATGTACTTAAAAATAACAGAGAATATTGAAATTATAACTACACAGTGTGAAACAAAGACCAGAAGAGCGAGATTCAAAAATAGACACCTAGCCAAACTGGTTTTTCCAAATCAAAATATCATGTTTAGTTCCCAGAATAAAATCTTTCAACTTCGAAATTTACGAAGAGCTGCTACAGCATTTTCCTGGTTTTTGTAAAACCATTTCGTTCTGGCAAACTGATAGTCATTGAAATAATGCTACTCGTTCAAATGTTAAAATAGCCCTCAATTATTAATTGCATGTCTTTTCAAGCATTTTGTCTGTAATGTGCCTCCTAGTAGAAATTTTTTTAGCTTTTTTTTCTTTTTTTTTCCTTCTTTTTTTCCCTTTCAGAGTCTTTCATTGCATCCTTTGCATTATCTCTCTCTACAAATTTTCAAATCAATCTGCATTTTAGTTAAAGCTGCAGAGTACTATGAATAGGCCGAGTTTAAGTATGATCACCCCTATATATATATATATAATTACAAAACAATTTTTTTAAAACAAAATATGATCATGCCTAGTATTTTCGTGCATTAAGCTGTTGAAAAATTATCTGTAAATGAATAAAGTTAAACATTTAGAATTAATTTCGCAAAAATTGAAATTCTTAAGTGATAAATTTAAAATAGACCTATAAATGTAGTAAAGAATTTAATGTTAAAACCAAAATTCTTCAAATAAATAACACCCCACTTCAAAAAGTCAATGAAATTTAAAGAAAAAGAAACATAATAGAAGTGAAATTCAATCAACTTCAATGCTACGTCTTCAGGAGAGACTTTAAACTGCTTGAAATTAATCCAACTTTGTTTTCAAACCAAAATTATTTTAAAAGTCGCATAAAATTTAGTTATTTTCCCTACATGCTTTTGCACTCATATAGTACAGACAATTATATGCAATTGAAAAAAAAAAAAAAAAAAAAAAAAAAAAAAAAAAAAAAATCAAGGAAGCCTAAAAAGGCTAAAGATGAACCAAATGCAATACAGAAACAAAAATAAAAATGAATTCTGTTTACTGAATTTAAGAGTCAACTTAATGAATGAATATGGAAGGAAATATGTTATCATCACTCATTAATCAACTTCATTTAGGGCTTCAAAACACTTTTCCCTTGACGAGTTCTGTTTGAAGTGCTAAACTAAGACGATAAAATTTTTTTTGGTTTTAAATTGTACAATTTTTTCCTATTTGAAGTGAAAATTTTTTATTACTATTTTATGATTTTCTTTAATTTGTGTTTTACCAATGTGTATTTTAACGCAGAGAAAATAGGATTTACCTTCAAATATTTAATACACCAGTTTCTTTTTCGTTCCAGTTTTGAGTGTTGATTTATTATTTTAGAATCTTTCAATACATTGCGTAAATTTGTGTCAAGGTTTTACTTCCTTTTCTTTTTGTTTTTTAAACTTAAAAAATATTTACATATATATGCAGAGTTGCCAACTCTCCCGATTTAGGCGTGAGACTCCCAATTTTCAAGTGCTCTCCCGCCAACCTGATTTACAATATATTTCTCCCGACTTTTTCTTATTCTTAAAATTTCTCACGATTTTTATGAAACTTAGTTTAATACTTCGTTATATGAACAATAAAAAAGTGATTTTGAACATCTGAAAGGAATTATATCTAAAACAAAACCT